GCAGCAGCACGTTCTCATTGATGATGCTCCTGAGCACATGGAGATATCCAGGACTTGCCCTGACTCTGGTAAAGATCTGGAGCTTAGGGTTTTCACCACATTCAAAATACCCATTTTGGCGTCTTCCCCTCCTCTTTCATCACTGGTCCAGGGAGAAAGTAACATTAGGGATGTAAGAAGGGGAAAATATGTATTAAAGCTCCCCAGTGAGCTCCCTGATGAGCTGTGCCCCGGCATGCTGGGAATGAAAGAAAATCCCCAGATGGGCTGTAGAGTAAAAACTCCTTGCTGGATCCAAATGTGCCAGTCAGTTTTATCTCCCTGCATCCCTCTGCACTAAACCTAGCCCACGGTGGCTCTCACCCTCTGAGGGGCGATAGAGTCAAGGAGAAAATGTGAAATAATCCCTTGCTGCTCCTTCCTGTTCCTCTTTTTACCATAGGTTACCTGAAACCAGGACACGTTGTGTCAGCCCCGGCACAATTCCCACCACGGGATGCTCCGAGTGTAACAGGGTAAGGCCCGAGGCAGCGCTTTTATTCTGGGTGGTTTCCAGGCTGTCCTGGCCCAGTGGGAAGGGCACGAGAGGGAGCAACAAGGGAGTCTTTGCATTTTCCTGCCTGCTCCTGGAGCCCGGCCTGGGATGGCACCTTGTGCAGGCGGGTCCACAGCTTCCACAGCGCATAGTGCTCTCCTTCACGGGCTGCATTACCGCACACTCCGGCTGCCGCCATCGCACGCCGCTGCACGTCTCAGGCTGCTGCCCTGTGCCGCCAAGCCTTGCGAGGAGCTGCCGGCACGTGGCACAGAGCTGCTGTCCCGCTCTGCTCCCCAGCCGGGGCCAACCCACCGGCAGCCCAACCGCCTGTTGTCCTCCCTCCTCCTGGCAGCCTTCCTCCTGCCCTTGGCCCCCAGTGCTGTCACTGCAACAGGGCTTCCTAATCACTGTCTGCCTCATCACAGGGATGAAGATGAAATTTATGATGACGTAGAGCCTGTTGGGCTGCTCAGGAGAGGCCAAGGCTTTCTGCTGCCCCCCATGTCCCGGCAGCCAGCGTATCCCCGCCCTAGAGGAGGTGGGTACAGGAGGGGCTGGGGTGCTGGTTGGGGTCGGTGCTGCAGCTCAGAGACCCTCAAGGCCTCTTGGGCAGCAGCAGAGCCTGCCCTGAGCCCACTGCTCCCATGCACAGGAAGGCAATGGGTTTTTCTGCTTCCTTGTAAATGAGCGTGGGAAACCCTGAACCCCCCTGCTCCATACTCAGGGAGCAAACTCAGGGTTTGGTCCCAGGAGGAGAAAGCTCTTGCTGCTGTTTCAGACTTGTGTCCTGTCTCAGTGGGTGTCTACAGCTTATAGCAGCCTCACAGCAGCACCTCTCCTGGGGTTTGGTTTTACAGGTGGAGATGCTGGTCAAGCCTCTAACAGGGTTGCCGTGCTGGCAGGTGCACAGAGGTAACAGGGGGTTTTACTCATTCTAAGGGTCCCAGAATGGCCAAGGCTCCTTGCTGCTTTGACAAAGCAGGTGGTTTAAAGGTCTTTGCTGGGCTTGTGATAGAAATGTCCATGGTGAAGAGCACAAGCAGCAGGTTTGAACCTGACCTGAGAGCCCCAGCAGCCCTGGAGGGAGGCACCTTTGGGCGCTGGGGAAGAGCTGGTGCAGGGAAATGCGATGGGGCAGCAGCCAGGGAGGGCAAAGGGGAAGGGAGACAGCAGAGTGTGGGGTCACTTGAGCTTTCCCATGACTCACAACAACTCTGCAGAGAAGCCCAGGTCTCCCGGAAGATGAAGCCAATGACGCTGAAAGAATGCAAGAAGGAAGAGAAGGCAGACAGGGAGTTTCAGAAGAAATTCAAGGTGAGCAGCAACGAGCAATTGCTTATCCCTCTAGGCTCCCTCTCACCTCCTGGGAAGGGTGCAACACAATGGCAGAGAGGAGCTGCACTCTGCAGAGACCAGCCGATACCCAGGTCACACCTGCCCTGTTCCCCACTGAAACATTCCCAGATCAGACCAAGTCCCACAGACCATTTGGCTAAAGAGGGATCTGGTTTTTCTAAGGGAGAGTGGTTGGAGCTGCCCGGCTCACGGTCCCCTGGGGTGGCTGCTGAGCTGCAGCGCTGCTGTTTGTGTTTCAGTTTGAAGGAAGCATCAACGTCCTGACTCAGATGATGGTTGACCCAGCAGCAACGGAGAAAAGGGGTGGAGGGAAGAACCTGCCGCTGAGACGAGGAGAAATTCTTGATGTCATTCAGTTTACAAATCAGGAGCAAATCCTCTGCCGAAACAGCCAGAGGAGGTGTAAGTCTGTGGGGGCTGAGGCTTTGCCCTCAGCAGGGATCACAGCACACAAAGTTTTGGGAACAAGTTTCTTTGTGCACACACACCCCAGTAGACAGCAGGAGACATCCCCTTGCTGTTAGGCAGACCTGACATGTATCCTGGGTCTCAAATGTTCCCATTTTTCTTTGCACAAAAGTCCTGCTCTTCCTCCCACTCAGCACCAGCATTTCTGCTGTTAGCTGGGCTTGTCATCTCCCTCTGTTAAAACCTTTGCAGTTCCCGGAGCCTCTCGGCCACCAGCCTGGCTCGTCAGGCTTTGCGGTAGGCGTGGACTCCACAAGCCATGTTTGCACCAAAGGATGCTCAGGTGAAGGGGGCTGCAGATCCCTCAGGCAGAGAGACGGGGATCAGGCTCTTCACAGCCAGCTGCCACCCAGCCTGGCAGGCTCATTCCCCCACATTGCCCGGGGCAGATTCCTCCCAAGGGTCCAGCTTGGCTTCCCAGAGCCAGGCTCCTCCTTGCCGCCAGCTCTCCCTGGGGATGCGAGCTGTTGCTAAACCCTGCCTGTCCTGCGAGGCAGGTGCTGGGGTGAGACCTCATTCGTGCCCTGGCTCCCAGCACAACCTGACATGCTTTTCCTTGCTCTGTTGCAGATGGCTACGTGCCCCGGGCTGTGATGCTACACCTGTGAGTACCTCTTCCCCAGCCCCTTCCTCCCCGCTCCACAAGCTGTAGCAATTGCCCAGTGAGTGCCCAGCACTAAACCAGCCCTGGCCATTGAGTGCCGGGGTCCCATCTCTGCACGGAGAGCACAAGGCTATGAGGAGGCGAATGGGGCTGCGTGGTGGACACCAGAGCCCGTAGACATGTTAGGAGAGATGGGACAGACGTGGCAGCAGGAGCTGTCCCTTGCCTCAGCATCGGGAGGCGGCGGGGACATGGGAGACCAGACTGCTCACAGCACTGCCTCTGTTTCCTTGCAGGGACACTGACATCTATGATGACGTTGAGATTTATGGTAGGTGCAGAGGGAACCGCTGCCGTAGCCCGTTCGCCAAGCACTCGGGTGCTGCTCCCTGGCATGGGCAGGCTGCAGCGATCCCCACACCAGCACCAGCGCCTCCCCCTTGCCCCCTTGCTGTTTCTCCACCTTCCCTCTCTCCCCTCCCTCTCTGTGATTCCTCTCCCTCTCTCTGGGACATGTCTTCCTTTCTCTCAGCTCCCCACAGGTCCTCGTGTTCCTCTGTTCCCAATTATTTGGACTTCCCCATACCCTTTCCCTTCTCAGCTTGCTCCCTCCCCTTGCTGCCAGCCCCAGGGACCCCTTCATGTCCTTTGAAATGTTCCTGATGCCCCAGACAACTCAGGATGCCCTTTCCCAAGCAGTTGCTCACTCCTGGCATGCAAACTCCATCCCCTGGCTCGCAGACGGCTCGGAAGGTGGAGGTAAATAGGGACAACTGTATTTTATCTGCGTGCCAATGAGCAAACCTTTTATCTAATTCTGCCTGGCAGGTTGAGCGATCCATGCTAAAGCCAAAGGCACAGGACAGCACCAACGGAGACCTCCCCAAGGGCCAAAACATGGAAAGCACTATATTGCCATGCTCCTGCTTTGGAAGGAGCTCTGCTTCCTCTGAGACAGCCTGCAAAAGCCACCGTGCCCCTGCTGAATCAGGGGCGAGGCTGCTGAGCACACTGCGGGGCTGCAAGAATCCTGTCCCACAGGGGCAGAGGGTGCAAAGAGATCCTCAGGTCAAGCCTTCTCTGTGACTTCGTTTTGTGTGTGTAAAATACGGCAATAGTTTGAGAGGGTTTCGTGGTCTTATTTGTGGGTGAGGGGTTTAAAATCTGGACGAGAGAGGTTTTAATTCGGAGACGTTTTAATATTGCCCCATTCCCAGAGCATCCTCAGCCTGGAAAGAGCGCCGTATCCCTAAACCCACCCACCCCGTCCTTCAGCTGCCGTCTGCATCACTCTCCTGCCCCAGTGAGACTCCTGGCCTGTGCCAGAATCAAACGACATAGAAATACTGTAAAATATTGTGGGCAGCAATGATTATTGACCAGGCACCCCAGCAGCATCCCGTGGCCGTGGGGCAGCTTCCCTGTAGAGCTCCAGGGGGGCGGATCTGTTGGGGCAGATATTCCTGTGGGTACATTCAGCGTCGTCCGTCGGTGCCTTGGGCTGACGGTCTGTGCAGATCGCCACGGGAGATTCTTCGATTACCTGGGAAACAGCCTTCCTTTGCAAGCTTGGCCCTCAGGAATCCCAGGTAGGAAGGGGGTGTGCTCACAGCCAGAGGGAGCGCAAATCCTGTGGCAGCCTCCGGTGGCAGGACCCAGCTCCTTTTGGATCAGGAACTGTGATGGGAAGGCAGTTCCGGGGCTGAATCCCTGCTCTCAGCCAGCAGCACTTGGCCCTGATCCCGGCGGGCGGCAGCACGGCAGGATGCCAAGCCCAGATTAGCCAGTTGAAGACGTCACTTTCCATTACAGGAAAGGCTCCCAAGTAGCCCTGAAGCTTTTGGTCCCAGGGATTAGCCACTGGCGTGCTCGGCTCCCAGCAAAGGGCAGGGGTCCATCGGCGCAGCGGTGCCCGGGGCGATGAGCGGGGCCGGGAGCTGCTCCGAGGGGCATCGTCTGGGTGGCTGAGGATGACCATGTGGGAGCGGGTCAGAAGAGCTTTGCTGAACTCGCTGTCCACAATCTTCCTGCACATCTGGAAGTGGGTACGGGCTTTCTGGCATAAAAATGGCCTCTTGACCCTGTCGATGCTGTCGGTTGCCACCGGGTGCTTCCTGGGGTTCCTGCTGCGGGCACTGGAGCTGACAGAGCTGGTAAGCCTGGCCGGGCCGGGGTCGGGGGCAAGGGGGACGAAGTGGGGCAGCTGGGGAAACCAGCCCTGGTGCTGGCAAGACATCACCATCAAGGGCTCCCAGACAGGCACAGCCCCAAAAGTAAAGCCCAAGAAAACCACCTCTCAGGGCAGGTTTCTCCCTATGGCTTTTTCTTTTTTTTTTTCTTTTTTTTTTTTTACTAAAAAGCTGCCAAATACGCCAAAGCTGCAGGAAATATCCTGTCTCCCTCCACTGGGAGAGAGGGGCTCAAGGACAGACTCCATGGGGCTGCAGAAGCCTCCAGGGGGGATGGGGATGGGAAAGGTGGGGAATGGATGCTCGGCTGCTAGATGCTCAGTAACAGAGTCCCCCCAATGCAAACAGCGGCGCTGGGGTCCGAGCAATGAGCTCCTTCTGCTACTCTCCCCAGCTGCGCAGATGCTCAACCAAAGCACGTTTCCACTCTCTGGAGAAGGCCCAGCAAATCAATACAGGGTTGGTGGAGAGCCTGGGGGGCTTTCAGGGGTCACCTTCCTCTGAGGACCCTGGGAGGCAAATGCATTGGAGAAAATGCACCGAAAAGGCGTGTTCGCTCAGTGCTTTCTAGGATCGTTGCGCTGTTAAATGTCACCACACTAAAACCCCTGTGTCTTTAACGACATCAGGCATCCTGGTGTGGCTCAGCCCTGATCTTCGTCCGGGCTGGCTGCGCTCGGGAGGGGGGATGCTGCTTCGGGGAGAGCTCGGCTGGTGCACATCCCCGTGTCACCCGCAAGGATTTAGCAAAGTCTTGTCACTTCAATTACGCCCTTCAGCATCACCACCTGCAGCAGGGATGATCTCGTTACTTAATTGAAGCCGGGTGTAATCTCCCTGCGCCCCAGTGCACGTGCCCACGAGAGCCCGGCAGCCTCCCACACCAGGCTTGAGGCCAGCAGAGCCTGGGGGCTCCTGCCCCTCATCCTGCCATGCACCGAGTTCGTCCATCCTCTGCTCCAGTCTCATCCTGCCCTGTTGCCACAGCCCTGCACATGGTCCCCTGCAGCCAGTTCTCCCTTTTAAAGACTTTCCATGCTGCAGATGAGGGGCTGGAGAAGCAGCCGGTCCCCACCTTTCTCCCTGTGACGGGAAAGTGTCACAAAGCTGAGAAACCCACTGACAAAAGAGATGCTGTTCAAATCTGCTGTTTGCACCCAGTGGGACCCACTGCAGCTCCACTCTACATGGGCTCCATGGGAAACCAGCCAAGTTGAGGCCACACGGGTGGGTTAGTGCATGGACAGCCATGTGGAGCACTTATTTTAATAGTTTGCCTTGGCATCCCAAAAAGCCTGGTGGTGTTGGTTACTTTGGAGTAACCAAAAGTACTTGCTTGGCTTGGGGCCGTCTCAGATCTGTCCCTGACGCCTCTACAGTGGCACGGTGAAAGACTGGGGGGCAGGGAGGGAGGGAGGGAAGGTGGGTTGATGAAGTGAGGGATGCATGGATGGATGGAGGCATGGAAGGAACTCAGCAGCCAGACGGATGGTAGATGGAGAGGTGGATGGAGGTGGTGGGTGGATGGAGGGATGGATGGTGGATGGAGGGATGCTGACCAGGTGGCTACTGGTCTCGCAGACCCCTCACTCTTCCGTTGGTCATGGCTGTGGTATCCGCGCTTTGGGGGTCTCTCTCCAGGCCACCCTTCCCCATGCCCATGTGAGGAGTGTAGGGCTGGACGGACGCCACGGGGCGGAAGCCTCCCTGGTGACCATAAGGCTGCACCACAGACGGGCTGGATACCCGGGCTCTCCCTCAGCTCGGCGCTGCCGTTTGCAGCCACAGGGGATTTCCACCTTTTGCTGCCGGCACCAGGCTGCACCCGACAGCTTCAGGGCACATTTGCACGGGCAGTCGAGCCTCTGCTCCCCAGTAACAAGTGTGATGATGTTTGGGGGTGATGGGACAACAAAGACGATCAGTGGTGGGGCCATAGGGACTCCTGCCTAGAGAGCAATGGACAGAAGGATGTTTTTGGGAGGGGACCAGCCCCACATGCCTCTCTCCAGTTCACAGCTGGGTTTCCCACGTGGCCAGTTATTTCCCACCCCGACCCACCTCCTGGTAAGCGACAGCCAGAGAAACGATGTCTCTGAGTGCCACAGGGAAGAGCAGCCGGCTCGGAACCAAGCTCAGAGCTGGGTCTGGTTGAGAAAAAGGCAAATTTATCAGGTTTGAGCCCTTAACTCATGATCAGTGTCCAGTTCTCAGCTCTCACCTGACACAATGGCTCTGCTCTATGTGCAGGAGAAACAGTATTTTTCCTTTCCTGGAGAGCTCCTCATGAGGATGTTGAAGATGCTGATCCTGCCCTTGATCACCTCTAGGTAAGACATCATCTTCTGCTTCTAAAGTACCATCTCTCCATCATGTTGAGATCACCCCAAAACTGCCTAGCGTAAGAATAACCCCGGCCCTAAGCAGCCAGCAACCAAGCAGCATCCCCTGGCTTGGTGCCCATCAAACCCCATGATTTTCCAGCAATGGTCTGGATTTGGTGAGGTTCCAAATCCTCACCTGGATTTGGTAGACACCTGCACCCAGGTCAGATAGATACCTGCACTGGCTGGGGTGTTCCCCTTCTTTTTGGGCCCAGCCAGCTGGCGATGTTGGACCGTCCGTGGGCAGTTGATGATGGGCAGCTGCTTAAACTCAAAGCAGATTTCCTTATTTCAAGGGTTTTGAGAAAGTTCAGGTAGAAACCACAAGCATCCCTCAGTGTTGCATCTATGTTTGCGAATCCCACTTTTATCAGCCCATCCAGATCTAGAAATAAGAAATAGAGCTGACAGTCACACTCAAGTCTAATCAAGGTCTTGAAAAGCTTACATGGATTTACATATTTTAAACAATTGCTGGCACTTGCTCATTAGAAATACCCAAACAATTAGCTCTTCGTTCCCTTGAGGATGTGTCACTTCATTGTTTTTCAGAGTTTGCTTGCTTTCCCATTTGCCTTTGGCTTATTTTTGGGAGCAGCATACTCTCTGTCCTGGCCACACTTGGCCTTTTTGGTATCAGCCCTTGAAGAGCTGCTTTCTTTTCCCCTCCAGTATTTCACACCCCCTTTCCCGATGCGCTGCTTGGGTTTTCTTTCGCTCTCAGGGTGCTCAGCCCTCCTGGCAGCTCAGCGACGCTGGGTTGTTCCAGCCAACTGCTCTCCTGCCTGCGGGCGTGGGGTCTGCACAGGGCTCCCAGGACTTTTCTTGCACACTGAATTGAACCAGGCTTTTTTCTTACTTAATTACTGAATGATGGTGAAGTGGCGTCTTCCCTCTGTGCACCGTCCCAGAAGGGACTGGGTGCGCTCTGGGGATGGATTTGTCCAGGTTGGGGCTCAGCTCTGGAGCTTCCCAAGTTGGAAAGGACCACCCACCTCCACGTTGCTTTTGTGGCCTCTCTTGAGCTTCCCAGGGTCTCCTTCCTCCTGGACACGTGGCTGCTGGAGGGGATCTGTGGGCTGGCCACCGCCTCAACGACCTTGTGTGTCCCCAAGGGTGGCATTAACCCTCGCAGCCTCCCTCTCCATCATGTCCTGCTGGGCCACCGCCGAACATCGCCAGATGGCTTGGCCAGGGTTCTGCAGGGCCCCGGGGTAGCTGGAGCAGTGAAAGCCAGCAGCCAGGAGCTTGGTGTGGGTCTGCGTGCACATGGGTCATGCTGCAGCCCCCAAACACTCCCATTTGCCAGCACTGCAGCAGTGCAGCCTGCGACACCATCTCTATTTTTAGTCCAGTTTCATTTAAAAGTAGCTTATGGGCTACTTCTTAAGAAAGCTTACATGCACGTGAAGTCTGAACCAGTGTCTCTCTCCTTGGGGGAATGGGGTCCATCCCCACCAGGATTTTATAAACCTTGCTAATACCTTTCTTCACTGTTCACAGCGACATGCAGCAGCAGCACAAGGCGTTAGAGATTTAAGAGAACAATATCACACAAAAAAAGAGCAGCGTTAGTTATTCACCATGAAAATACACTAAGAATATTTGCCTCTTATGCCTTGGAGAAAACAGGAAAGGTGGACAGACCTTGAAAAGGGACTCAGAGAGGTCTCTCCTGCCCTTTGCAGCTCAGCCTGGGTGGCCACAAGCCCATCCTGGGTGTGAGATCCTGTGGGCACAGACACACATGTGTGCTAGAGCTTGGTGATGCCCTTATGCATTGGTTAAAAAAAAAATCCATGGAAACGTCTCCCATCTTGGAGATTTTGCCCATCACATGCATCCTGTGCAGTTTTGGGAGCAGACACTGACCACAGTCTTTGCTGCTTTGCAGCCTCATGTCCGGGCTGGCCACTATGGACTCCAAGGCCTGCGGGAAGATGGGGGTGATCACTATCACCTACTACCTTTGGACAACCTTCATGGCAGTGATTGTCGGGATCATCCTCGTGGTCAGCATCCACCCTGGTGCAGCTGCCCAGAAGGACAACTACTCTGTGGGGAAAATGGTGCTCAGCTCCGCTGATGCATTACTGGATTTAATCAGGTACGTTGCAGGATTTCAGGAGGAGCCAAGTTTATGATGGCGTCTCACAGACAAGATCTTCCCACAAGGCACCGAGTTCCCGGGAGATACGGAGATCTCAAGGGAAATGGGAGAACAATCGGCCACGCTGACCAGGCACCGGTACCTCTGAGCCCAGCGACGTGGGGTTCTTTTCTCCCCACGCGTGTCCCTCCGGCACTCTGTCACTCACGTTACTCTCCTCCCAGAGCCACCAGCAAGGAGGGGTGCTGGCAGGTTTCAGTCCCCTGCAAAGCTCAGCGGTTCTCTCCCTGCAGCCCCCGCCGTGACATGCCAAGCCCTGCAGCTCTTTGGGCTTTGCAAGGTGAAAACGAGCAGGAGTTGGCCCAGGGCTGGATTAAAGCAGTGGATGTGGGTTAACTGGGGAGGGGGTGCAGCTCGGACCCAGGGCTGGGGGAGAATCTCCATTTCTGGAGGCATTCAGTCGACTGGACAAGGCTCCGAGCATCCTGCTCCAGCTTTGCAGGCGGTCCTGCTCCGAGCAGGGGGCTGGAGACGGCAGATGTCCGTCCCAACCTGTAGCTTTCTACGAGTCCAGTCTACATGTAATTCACAGTCCTGCTCTTCCTTCACCTTCCAGCCCGTCTTCGCCCTCAGCTTGCACAGAGGACATCGAGCTGGCGTTGGCTGTAACGGTCCTCCTCTTGGCCTCATGCCCACCAGAGGCGCTTCCCATGCTGTTCCCCGTGTTCTCACAACGTGCTTTAACCCTTGCACAATTGCTCTCTTACAGAAACATGTTTCCTTCTAATCTCATCGAAGCTTCGTTCCAGCAGGTGAGTTCACCCAGCCCCACTGCCACCGGAGGCTGGGATGGTGCTCAGCTCCAGATGGGGCTGCTGTCCCCATCTGGGTGTTCTTCCCCACCCGCAACCTGGACATGAGCTCCTTCCCTCTGCCTCCCTCCCACCCTGCCTGCTCCCTGGCTGCTTTCTGCTCACCCCAGGGTGGGCACCCGAAGGCAGGAGGGTACTGGTGGGGGCACAGACCCACAGGGACGCCCCGCATGCCTCCACCTGGGAGGGCTCCTGTACAAAAGCAGCAGTGTCGCTTCCCTCGGACCCTGCTCTTGTGCAGCCGTTTCTCGGTCCCTGGGGATGAGGGAGCAGAGGCAGAGGGATGGGCAGGCAGCAGGCATGGGGAAGGAAAGCTTGGAGAGAAGGTTGGGGTGGATGAAGGAGAGCGGCCGAGTAGGGGCCGTGTAGGGTGGAGGGGAGAAGGGAAAACGAGCAAACTCACAGCGCTGGGAAAGCACCTGTAAAGCCCCCAGAAGGAGACGGATGGGGGGTGAAGGGGCCTCTCTGCGGGACCACGCCACTTACCCAGGGCTGCACCAGGATGCTGCAGGGACCTGACTCACAAATGCCACGCGTCTGCCCGGAGAAGTGCAGCCTTGCTCAAGGATGGCGGTGCTGAGGTCTGCAGGGAACAACCACAGCTCCCCTTGCCCGTCTCTTGCTTCTCTTTTTTACCAGCCTTTTACTGCCTGAAAAACAAACTTTGAACCTCCAGGACCACCTGGCCCAGTGATGGCTTTGCCTCTGTGTTCAGAGCAGGCTGGATCCCACTGCCAACAGGATACTAACCTCACTGCTTTGTTTTTGTTCCAGTATCGAACCGTTCTTGTCCCGGTGGTGAAGTCTCCTGGCTTTCCAAAGATCCCAGGCAAATCTCTCAGTTTTATTTACTTTGCACCCGACGATGAAAACCCTGAAATTCATCGGCCTGTGTTCCTCGAGCTGACACCATCCCCCGAGATGACCTACAGGACCCTGCCCGGCACCAGCAATGAGATGAACGTCTTGGGAATTGTCATCTTCTCAGCAACGATAGGTACCTGCTCAGTAGAGAACGGGGCTCCACGCTGCGCCCTGACCCAACTCGCAAGGCTCTTCAGTGGTGGTTGCAACCCAGGGTGGGAACTGCTGTGGCCACTGTGCTGTAAGTTGTGGTCGGGGTGCTCAGAGGGACGAGGTTATTTTAGCTCTAACTGCTCAAGTCCCTGGGGAACCAGGCGCAGCATGGAGCTTGTACCAACACCTTCACCAGTACCGTCCATAACGGAGCTCACAAAAGGTGTTAGGCACTGAGAAGGCCGTTTCCTCCCCCGATATTTCATATGAGCCTTCACAGCCCAAACATGGGTCCTGAGGGTTTTCAAATTGTCATGTAAGCTGGAGGGTCCTTTCTACGAAGTCTACTGAAGTGATTTGTAACTTTTGCAGTAACTTTTGCAGAGGCTACCTGGGACACAGCTCATTGCAAATGGTCCAAACCCTTCATGTTGGCAGTGTTCAAACTCCCTGAGCAGGCAGCAGGTGAAAGCTGGGTCAGACTCAAGTGCCTGGCACAAATGTAGGGA